AAGGGAGGGGGAGGGAGAGGAGGCCCACAATGGTGATCATTTCAACTCTCCCCCCTTCCCTTTGGATTCTCCTGCAAGCTGGAGTCTGAACCCCCCAGTTCAGCCTTTTGTTAGACACCCTTTGACCTGCTGTGGGTAATAAGGGAACTACAGAATGAGTGTGACATTGAGCATCCTAGCTAAAATGTATATAGACCCGACACCTTACAAAGCGCTCTGCCTAACACCATCTCACGGAAGCCTCACAACAGCTGTGTGAGGTGAGGAAGGAGGGCGTTCTCAGTACCTTCACTTTAGATATGAGCAAAACTGGAGCCCAGAGAGGGTAACTGACATCCTGAGATCACACAGCTAGAAAGCGGCAGTGCTGAGACAGCACCCAGCTTTTCTCTCTCCCTTGTGGCCCCGTTTTACTGCACCCCCCAAGAGGGTAAACAAAGGAGTCCATAGCTTGTGGGGAGCACACTTTTCTGTAAGACCCTTGTCCTGGCAGAGGGATGAGTGCCCCCAGTTGTCAGCTGAGATGAAGAGTCCACCCCTCCTTCCCAGGGCGAAACCAGGCACTCTCAGTTGAACTGACCCATCAGTGGTCTGTGGCCCTGCCCCTGCCAGGGAGCTCTGCTCAGCCTTGGGCTTGGGGACAGTGAGGTATCTGCAGGGCAGGACATCAGGTGTCACACTGATACCTCGGGGAGTGGGGGATGCTGTGCGGAAGGGTGCGTGTCCTGCTAACGCCACAGAGACTTGGCTTCATATGGGCGTCCACACTGGACAGGACTGATCCAACCCCAGAAAGGAGGTTGCTAAAGCCGATTCAGTCTTGTCAAGCAACCATTCATCAGACCGGGTCCTTGCAAAGTTCCCAGCTCCCCACTCCTCTAAAAGCTGGTGAGAAGTCTTGTGGGTCCCAGTCACCAAGGACTGAGCACCCACAGTGAGCCAGGCTCAATGCTGCAGGCCTTACCTGCGCTATCCCAGTCTACCCTCTCAGGTAGTTAGTCCTATTTAGAGACCAAGGGACTGAGGCTCAGAGGGGTTATGACACTCCTCCAGTGTCTCACAGCTAGAGAGCAGGTGGGCATCTAGCCAAAGCTCATGTTCCTTCCATTCTCAGGGCTGTTGGGAGAGTAAGTCTATGATGCTTCATTTTATGTGTCAACCTCACTGTGCCATGGGTGCTCAGACATTTGAACAAAATTACTCAGGGTGTGTCTGTGAGGGTGTTTCTGGATGAGATGCACTTTTGACTCAGTTGACTGAGTCAAGCACATTTCCCTTCCTAATGTGGTGACTTGAGTAGAGTAAAAAGGCTGCTGGGTAAGAGGGAACTACTCTTGCCTGACTGTTGAGCTAGGACACGGGTCTGTCTCAGCCTTCAGGCTCAGACTGAAACATGGGCTCTTCTTGGGTCTCAAGCCTCCTGGCTTTCTAGTCGGAAAGGCCATTGGCTCTGCTGGTTCCAGACTCAGGCTCGAACTATATACATCAGCTTTCCTGGGTCTCTAGTTTGCTGACTGCAGATCTTAGGATTTCTCAGCCTCCCTAACTGAGTAGGCCAATTCCTTATAATAATCCCCCACCCCCACCCCACGAATTCTATTGGTTCTGTTTCTCTCGAAAATCCTAACACGTAGACCAAACTTTGGGCTTCTAAGCACACAGGGGCTGCATATTTGGGTGTGCAATGCCCAAGTGCCAGAGGCTAGAACAATCGTCTGATTTGGTCTAAAAGTCCCCTCGGTTCCCAAGGCCCCAACAGGAAGCCCGGCAGGGAGGGGACCTGCCTGGACAAATGAGCAGAGCCAAGTAGCAGAAGCCTTGGCTTGCTTTCTTCTTCTCTCGTCTCCCTTCCCTCTTCCTCTTCCTCTTTTTCTTCTTTTTCTAAACTTAAACTGCTCCCCAAGTACTCAGGAAGAGGTGGTCAGCTCACCCCAGCGCCTCAATGTAAACAGCAATACTCGCCGAGCCCACTAGATGGGGACAGCGACACAGCCGAAAGGGCAAAAATGCAACTCAGGAGGGGCGCTGGGCTGGAATGTCACTAGGCTCCCCAGGCTGGAGAAATGCTCCCTACCCCTATCTTGCATGACTTCTAGCCAATGGTGTTGACCTAGATCTTCCAGTTCCCAAGCACTTTAGTCGGCTGTCACTGTAGTATCTCTGGTTTTCGAAGTCCTCAAGCCAAGTTATTCCCTCGTGAGCCTCCAAGCAAAATGCGCAACTACAAACTGAAGTCAGTCACTGCCCCGAGGCCTCCGAGCTCCAGGCAGGGGCACCTCCCCTTACGCCTGTCGCCTGTTTCACTGGAGAGTGAAAGCGCCTACAGTACCTTTCACCAGGGAATCTGAAAGTCGATGGGCAAGCACTCTAGCAAGGTGGTTATGTGACGAGGGAAGGAACCGGCCCAGGAAGCAAGGAGGAAAGCAGAGAGGGGAGAAGGAAATGGCAAGCACCCCTTTTCTCTTCAGCAGGCGGCTCTCTTTGGCCACGTGCTCTCGGCTCTCGGCCAGCATTCCTGGCCCTGTGTCGTGTCCTACAGTGAATCTTCCTGCACCTGCTCACAGTAGGTGCCCTGGGGAGGGGCGTGTCCCTGAGCCATGCTGTGATGAGACACCTAAAGGCAGAGATGGAAACCCGGAGTCTCCCCCTTCCTTTCCCGGCCTCAGTTCAGGTCCCCGAATACTCTCTCTTCCACCAGTAGCAAAAATCCTGCCCTGTATGTCCAAGATGGTTGTCTCTCACCCGCCACCCTTCCTAGGAGGACGAAACAACACACCAGAATGCTGGCGGCGGGGGGCCTGGGCCTGACCAACACCCCACCATCCCCTCCACCTCCCACCTGCCCCCACCATCCCTTCCCAAAGTTGCACTGCCTGGCAGCTGAGCGCTGCCTCCATTGCCATGGCAACACTGTGGCTTCCCCCAAGTGGGAAGCTGGTAACCAAGGCCCTTGTTGCCAAAGGCTATAACAGCCACCCCGGTGTGCTGTGCTGTGCGAAGAGGAGGGTGAGAGCTGGCGGAGGGGTGGAGGGTGGCCAAGGGAGGCTGGGAGGAAAGGAAGCAGGGGATTCTCAAGAAATGGTAGCGTCCAGGTAGCCCTCCCTGGCTGGATGGAGGGTGGCATGGGGGGGGGCCTTGTAGGAGGGGAACAAGGACCTCACAGCATCTCAGTGACTTGACTGCTCCTGGGGGGTATTAGAGGGAAGAAAGGGGACCTCCACAGAACACATCTGGACAAGCCCTCTACCCAGCAGGACCAGGCACTCCAAGCCCCCCAAAATGGAGCAACGGCTTTGATTCTCCCCAACTTCAGAATAACGGCCCCCAGGAATTTCTGTCTTGCTTGCTTATGTGTTTCAGAGGCACTCACACAAGCTGGGCCCCGAGAGAGCCAGTCCCTGTGGCAGGAACAGCATTAATGACAAGGACTGCAAACCTCCACACATTTCTACCCCCCTGGTTTGTCTCAGAGCACATACTTCACATTCCTTATAAAACGCTTGTCTTTGAAACAGAGCTTCCATCAGCCAACAAGAGTTGAAGTGGGCACCGTGAGAGCTCATCCCCTCCCAGAGGACGGCTGGATGGGGGCCCGTGGTCCCCGGGGACTGCTGCGGAAGCCCTCGCTCCACCTCACGGTGAGCACCCGGCAGCCTCGGCTTGCTCAGCTGCCATCTGTGCATTTACAGCCCACAGGTCACATGTGCAGCCACTGTCCAGCCCCAGCCCAGAGAGAAGAGCCTGTTCCCTCCTGAAGGCCCCATCCTGCTAGAGGTGCAGAAAAAGAAAACTGAAAGAGCAAGTGGGGGTGTCCAGCAGGCAGGGGGAGCAGATGGCTGGCAGAGGCAGAGAGAGAGCAGCAGGTAGGGTGGGAGGGGAGCCTCGTCTGAGAGGGGTCCGGGACTGGAAAGAGATGACACGGGCACCAAGAACAGCCAGGTCCCAATGTCCCCAGGCTCGCTCCCCCAGGAGCATCCCCAGCAGACCCTGGCCCGTGACACCCATGCCTGCCCTCCCCCCTCCCCTGAAGCCCTCTCTTCCCAAACCCAGAAGGGAAAGCAGGTGTACCTACCCCAGGTGCCAGTCCCTCGGGCGGGGTGGGGGAGATGCTGTCCCCTCCGCCCTGGCTTCGGGCGCTGAGCTGGGGCGACATGGTGGGCGACTCGTCGATGTAGGGCATGGTCTCCGAGCCCTCGGGGGGCCCCTTCTGCTCTTCATTCCCCTCTCCGTCGTAGTCGTCGGCCCCGTAGCTGAAGTCTGAGACAAGGAACAAGAAAGGCCACTGAGAGTCCTCCACGAGGGCTGCCAGGGACTGGTAGCGCAGTGGGCGCCGGCGGCGGCCCCCG